ACCTTAAATTAGTATCAGTAAACCAAGATTCATATCAATGCAAATTATTTATATCTATATCATATCCCCCTATAAATGTAAAAGAACATTTACAAACAATATTTGGGAATATGGGAGCAGTTTTTTCTCTCCAAACTGCTTCGTACTGTGTGGGGATACTGTTAATCAGGTCTTTCATGGTGTATCCTGTATGCTAGGTTCATCTCAGTGGGCAGTTGAGCAAAGAAAATTTTTGAGGGTGTGTATAGCAACCTTTCAGGAGGGCATGGTCTATCATACCATATTGGCCTGGTAGCAATCCACAGGTTCTCGTCTTCTGTGGAAACAAAAGAAGAACCTCTTTTCCAAAGCATCATATCCTTAGACCCAAATTCTGAAGTCTTAATACCTTTATAATATTCATGCTGGTTTAGCTTAGCCCATACAATGAAATGTCTCTGTGTACTTAGCTCCTTTATAGTCAAAAAATTCAAAGAAAACACAATAAAATACATAATCTAGACTCTCTGTGAATTTTCCATTTTTATGTGGCTTATTTTTCTTCATTTTTTAAAATCTATAACTATCTGTACTCTGCCTCTTTAAATACTTTACCACCCCCTTTTTTAAAGCATTAACTTTATATTATGACTCTGTATACTTTTTATTTTTCTCTCCCAAGCCTACATGATTTATCTAACACTGTGACCCATTTAGAGGTCTTTTATGTCTGAATCTGTCCTATCATGGATCTGTAATTCTTTACTGTCCAGGAACACTTTAGCTTTGGGGCTTTAAAACGCTAAGGTCTTAAGAATCTAAGCTGTGACAATCAAATACAGATGCTTCCTGCTTGCCCCACCCATTCCAAAATGGTGTAGCCGCTTGTGCCTTTGAGCCATGTGCATTGCACCACTAGCATGGCGAAGTTGCTTGTGCCTCTGAGCCGCAGTGCACTATGCCCCCCTTTTAGGCACACAGTGAGTCTAGTTGCCATCAAACAAACCATAGCACTTTAGTCACAAACCCCATTGAAATGCTCTGTCTCCCGCAAAAGGCAGAGGCCATGATGGTGGCACAACCCCGAAACTAGTATTTCAAAACTGCCACTTTCTAGTAGACCTGATCCCACTGCCTACCCAAGGAGGGAGTGCCAAGCCACAGGCATGGTCTCAGGTACTTTGTTCCCGACCCCAAGTGGGAACTCAAACATCCATGCCCACAAATGCTCCATAGCTGGAGTTTGTACCAGCAGCAGAGCCCAGGAAGCCTATTTTTAATATGGCGTGGCTTTTTTTATTTTCTTGCTGCCGAGTCAGGAAATTCTCTCTGTGGCACACCACCAGCAAACAGGAAAAAAGCTGTGTTAAACTCTCTCTCTCTCCTTTTTAAGCCCTCTCAGGTTTTTAAGTAGAATTAGTCCATCACGTTGGGTGCCACTCTGTTGTAGGATGAGCAGTGGGCTGTGTGCCACTGCCCGGCTAGCTTAATCCTGGAAATAACCACACAGGAATTGTATTAATTAAAACACTGCCTGGTCCATTAGCTCTAGCCTCTTATTGGCTAACTCTCACATCTTGATCTAACCCATTTCATTTAATAATCTGTGTAGCACAACGAGGTCATGGCTTATCGGGAAATATTCAAACCTACGTCTGTCTCAGGCCAGAGCTTCATGGCATCTGGAACATTGTCCTTCTTCCCAGCATTCAGTTTGGTCTACTTCACCTACCTAAGCTGCTGCCCTATCAAAAGGCCAATGCAGTTTCTTTATTCAACCACTGAAAGTAATACAAATATAGAAGGACCTACTACACCAAACATAAACATCTTTGAAAGGTTTTTACATCCCAATAAACCCCTCCACTAATGCAATAATCTGAATCAGACCAAAACAAACCAAATTAGAAAAAGGCCAGGTTTAATGGATGCCATCATTTCTGGGTGGTCCCCCAGGCCCTCAGAGAGGAGATGGGTAAGAAAGACTGGAAAGCCACATTTGTTCTCTCTGGGGGAGGAGCAGTTTAAATACCCTGTGTGAGTGTTCTTCCCTTTTCCCCTTCAGTGGTCCTGTAGAATTTCTGTTCCCCCTCAGGCCACCAGAGAGAACAGTTGTCCAATTAAACCTGGATATCTTTTAATTTGGTCTGATGCAGTCTGATTGGGATCATATGTGTTAGCAGAGAGGCTCGTTTTTAGGAGTATTCCTAACATTTTGGAGGTTCCACTGGGTGTGGGGGGAGGTTTTTTTCCCATGGGCTCATGACCACATGTAGGAAAATGCTATTATAGGGAATGCTCTCTGCCAAGCTAAAATCAGCTTCCAGGCTAGATAGGCTTTGTTTCAGTAAGTTCCCCCTTGTTTTTGCTCTATGCCAATAGGGCTTTGGGATCCATTCACATCTATGTTTGTTGATTTTCGGGCTTTCTGTTGAAGTTGCAATCGTGCCCAAAGTCTTATCCAAGAGGCTAAACTGGGCTTAGCTGAGGTGAAGATTGTTTGGTCAGGGATTCGTACCATTCAATTTTCACATCTCTGTTTTGCCTCAAGAGTTT